GTTTTTTCTTGGTGTTAGCTGACCACATATATAGCAGTACCAGAAGTGGATTTGTGTATTGCTGTATGAGTGATCAGTTTCCTGTGTTTAGTTGCATGTGATGTACCAAGAGGTGCATGGTGGAACCAGTAGCCTTATCATCTATTCTCCATCCCACGTGGCTCTCCCTCTTGAAGCTGTGATACAATGGTCTAAGACTATGGTCAAAGCTGGAGTCAAGTCATTGAGGACAGAAGGACAAAATTCAAGTTAATATCAGACCCCTTGGAAGGGACTGCCCCTTTTGCAGGTACGCCTACAGCTACAAGGATTGCAAATACTGTAGAAGGTCCCATTCCTTCTGCCTCCAAACTTTAGCAGCATTGGTGGCTCTTAACACCTGTAGTGTGCTACACCTTGCTTTTGTCATGACTTGATCTCTGGCTGGCTGGGATTCTTGGCTTTGGTTCATCTTGGACCTCACTGACATACAGGTGGGGAACAGAGATGGAAATTCTTGAAATTCCTTAGCTGCAAAGTAATAGCAAAATGCATCCAAACAGCAGTTAAAGGTTGCTAAGCATGCGCAGACCTGAACAGAGGTGCTAACTTCCGAGAGCAGAGAAGAAGCTCCAGCAACATCCACTGCAAACCACGAGAGCAGGGCAATGTAGAAGGGTGAAAAACATACAATGAACAGGTACAGATTGACAGAAATAATGCAGATTGCTTTCTGGATTAATTTTGTCTCATGAGAGCTCGTGACCATCTTCTTGAGACATCTGATATCTTGTACTGACCAAAAAGTCACAATCACTAAGGGAAAAAAATCGCCAAAGATGATGGACACTAACAATGGATAACTAGGTTGAGAGGATTGCTTCTGAAAACAGAATTGTTCCTTTTTGTCATGAAACTGTGGATGAAAGTAGGAAGAAATCATGAGTATTATCCAAAGAACCCCACAGATAGAAGCTGATCTCAGTGGGGATCGAAGAATCTTTGCTTTTAGAGGGAACTTGATTGCAATGTATCAATCAGTTGCAATCAGGGTGATGATCAGGATACTCATAGGCATGTTTGTAAAGCCGATATTCTGTATGGTGAAACACAGGTTGTCTATGGGATGCTCCTACCTGGTAAAATACATCAAGAAAGGCAGGGCAAAGAGCATACAACTGTCTGCAACTATGAGGTTGATCATGTACACCCTGGTCTCGGTCCACCTCTTGAGTTTGCAGCAGAAGACCCAGAAGGCAATCATGTTCAGTGGGATCCCCAAAGAGAGCACTGGTATGTAGACAATAAGTTGGAACAGTGCAATGCCCTTCTGCATGCTGTCGTCTTCGGTGCAGTTCTCCATGTTGGGTTGTCTCTGCAAGAAAAGGGGGCAGGCATGAGACTGAGCTTGGGGCAGGTTGTCTGGGCTGGGTCCTGCTGCAGTGCCCCACTCTCATGGCTCTGTGGCTGCTCATGCCCCTGCACTGCAGATGTAGGCTCATCAGCACGTTCTACCCCTCAGCTATCAAAGCAACTCGGCAGCAGCTAACACAAAACCACAAAGGCAATAGTCTTGCAGCTATTACAGGGTTAGCCCTGCCTTGTCCTCCATCTGGTCCTAGTTTACACAGCTTGACTAATGGCAAAGGGTCTGCAAAGCAGAATGATCATTTCTGTGGTCCCTTATCTTTGCTGCTGCTGTAGTTATCTGAGAGCCACTGGCTTTAAGGCAGCCCGAAGCAGAGCTGGGCAGCATTCCCTCTTTGTCCCCAAGGCCCTTGCTTAGTTGCTGAAGCCGCCCTTTGCTCTGGGTGTTGCCAGGCTTGTGAAACTCTGAAGACTTGAGTCCTTTCAGATGTGGGGGTAGCTCAGGTGGCTTTCTATGCTTCCAGGGGTGGTGGGAATGCTGCTGCAGGCTGCTGGGTGCAGACAAGTGACTGCTGTGGGCAGGCTGTGTCCAACCATGGAAGCAGAGAATCAGCCAGGTTGGAAAAGACCTTTAAGCTCATCCAGTCGAACCGTTCCCCAGCACTACCAAGGCCACCACTAAACCATGGCACTGAATACCTCTTCTACACAGTGTGTGAACGCTTGCAGGGACAGTGACTCCAGCCCTGCCCTGGGCAGCCTGTTCCAATGCCTGGGCATCCTTTAGGGAAGGAATTGCTCCTGATCTCCAGTCTAAACCTCTCCTGGTGCAGCTTGAGACCGTTTCCTCTTGACTATCACTTGTTCCTTGGGAGCAGAGCCCAGCCCCCTCCTAGCTCCATCCTCCTGTCAGGCAGTTGTAGGGAGCAATAAGGTTCCCCCTGAGCCTTCTCCAGACTGAATCCCCCCAGGTCCCTCAGCTGTTCCCCATCACACTTGTACTCCAGACCCTCCAGCAGCTCCGTTGCCCTTCTCTGGCCCCACTCCAGCACCTGAATGTCTCACTTGTTGTGAGAGGCCCAGAACTGAACACAGGATTTGAGGTGCAGCCTCAGCAGTGCGGGGTTGATCACTGCCCTGGCTCTGCTGATAACACTATTGCTGATAACGGCCAGGATGCTGTTGCCTTTCTTGGCTGCCTGGGCACAAGCTGGCTCATATCATGCTGTCACGAACCCCCACTCCTCTCTCTGCAGGATGCTGGGGAGGAATTGCTCAACAAAGTACCATCAGCGTTTAATATGCAAACATTTTTGTGCTCTTTTCCTCTTACAATAATAAACACGAATAGTAACAATAGTGTCTGTAACAGACAGTTTAATCACAGCAACGTGCTCAGGATCCAGGAAGAGAAGGTGTTAGGCAGCAGAAGTCCTTGGGTACTTTTATTACTGGAAACAAGATCCTTGCCAAAATCTGCAAAGTATCTGTAGAGAAATGACAAGATAAATTGACTCTTAGGGTTGTGCCAGACTTATAATTTTCAAGAATCTTTTTTTCTTTCAACCTAGCAGAGGATCAACTTAATTTGTGAATCTATTGAAAAATGAAGAAAGGAGGTGGGTGGGTAAAATAGGTGAGCTGTAGGAACCTGTGCAGAAAACAAATTTCTCTTGTCAATCAAGATAACAAGCATAAACAGGTTGTTGGAGGGGAAAATTACTTTTTGCTGTAACACAGATCATATATAGGTGACTGATTTCTCTTTCAAGTTCAAGCCCAAAAGGGTTGTTTATATGTATATTCAGCATCTGACCTAGCTCTTGAAGAGATGAAGAATGGTGGCTGAAGGGCTCTCAAAATGTTTCTTGGCAAGGAGTACGGGGTAACAATCAGTGTAAGTATAAATAGTTCAGAATGTTGCTAACAAAAGTGAAGTTGTTCCTTCAGATAATTTGTAATGCTTGCCCTCTTAGATGCAATCAGAAAGTTTTTGTTACAGTGCATTATATGTCAGCTGTGAAGCCGCTTTGGATACCCACTACTTTCCTTTACTTGGGATGTGCTAGAAGTACCTGCGTCTATAGAAATCTAGAGACTGCATGTTTGCACGAATAAGGAATGTCCTGCAATGTGGGCTCAGTTTCTTTAATGCATCAGATCCTTATGCAGATAACTGTCCTCTGTAAATGGTCTGGAAATCATGCTGATGTAACAAAAGCTTCAGAATGTGATGTGTTAGTTTACATAGCTTCTTCTGAATCTAGAGACCGTAAGAAGAAAGTATCTCCACTTATTGTCCTATAAATTAGTATAGATATGACCAAAGGGACTCTTTCAACATACTTTCAGCATACTCAGTGTCAGTGATTTAGTGGTTAACTGTGGCAACTAGGTTTGTACTTCCATTACCTACCATTCCCAGGTGGTTTGTATCCTGTACTGCATTTGCCTTGAGTTGTTTACCTTTCCAGATCATGCAAAATCTTGATGTGTTTAACATAGTACAATTTATACTAAGAGGAAAGTAATTGTGTGAAACGTATAAGGAGATCCTCCTACTGTTATTTTCCCTGAGGACTTGTACTTTCAGTGGTGCTACACTGACAACATTTCCCTAGCTTTGACTTTCCTTTTGAGTCTTCTTTTAGTTGTATTATTTGCTAAACTAATGTAACGTGCTGCCTTAAATGGACTTTCCCATTTAATTTTAATGAGTGGAAAAGAGACAGTTGTCCTTGATCTGTTCTGCTACTGCTCATCAGGCTTGCTTTGTGGGATCGTGGGTTTCTTGGAGAGTCCCATATAGACAAACCCCATAATAAAAAGTGAAGAAAATGGTAGTTGTGTGAATTTGACCTATATCCTGCAGAAGGGTCTTAACTGATGGGTTCTTTTACTCTAAAATCAGTATTGGAATATTGCTCTAACATTGTTATAACGCCATGATTTGATACAAGCATTATGGACCTTATGGACGTGTGACTGCTGATATTACTCAGCTGCATGTAATATATATATATTTATGTTATATATAAATATATATATCTAACATATATTAGATAACTATATAAGTAGAAATTAAACATACCTCGTTTTTTTATTTATTTATTTTTAATTGGGAAACCTGAATTCTACCTTCTACCTTTTATCTATAGATAAAGCTTTTAAAGTAGCATCATTCAGTGAACTCCTCATTTGCTTTTCTCTAAGAAAGCAATACATACCTTCAATACAAACTATATAAGCAGGTGAAATGTTGCCCCTGAACTGTACTTAAAGTATTACAATCCTAATATAAATAAATCTAAGTATTTACATATAAAAATATACATAAACACTAATAATAACCTGGATGTATTGCAAAACTGTAATAAATACCACTTAAATTCACCTGAAGAAGGGTTTGCCTCCTAGAGCATACTTTAAAAGTCTGACAGAGCTTTTCATATTAAACCAAACAAGTCAGGCACCTTCCAAATGCAGCATCTGCCCAGCTAATAATTACCTAAAGGCAAAGATGGTACATATGTTTCATCATATGACTGCCCTCTTAGCAAACTAACATTTCCTAAGAACATCTATAGAATATAACGTGATGAAACCACACTAAGCAGATTTTTTTTTAATTTAGGAAAAGAAAGCGTAATTACCTTTAAAATGTATGTTATTTGATATGTCTGCATTTTCAGCATTTTCCTCACAGGGAAGAGCTTCTGCCTAAGAGCTCATCTCAGTCTCCCCTCTGGCAGGTTAAAGCCATTCCCCTTGGCCTGTCCCTACAGGTCCTTGTCCAAAGCCCCTCTCCAGGTTTCCTGCAGCCCCTTTAGGCACCGGAGCTGCTCTAAGGTCTCCCCTTAAGGAGACTTCTGTTCTCCCGGCACTCAGCCAGCAAGATGTCACTGACTCCCTCAGCCCACCTCTGTGGGGAGCTGGACATTGCTTCCCTGAGCACCTGACAGTCCCTGTGGTCAGTGACAGACCCCACCTGTTCCAGCAGACAGCGACCCGGGCCTTTGCCCACCCGTCCCAGGGCTGCTCCTTGCTGTGCCATGCTAGCAGGCACGGGTACAGGGGCCCCTCACGGAACAGAGGGCAGTGTAGACACCGAGACCTCTGTAGGAACCTGATGGCAGGCCTCTGGGCACGGAGACACCGGTTATAGGCGCCGCTTCCCTTCACCTCCCTGCCGGGAGCTGCCCCCAGAGGCGGGGACCTGGCTCGGTGAACCCAGAGCTCGCTGCCTACTCCCACCCCGGCACATTCGGCCGGTTCGAGCGCCGAGGCCAGGCCCGGGCAGAGCTCGGTGCTCTCGGCTGCTCAGGCCCGCGGGCCACGGGCCAGGGCAGCCCAGCCGGAGCGGAGAAGAACGGGGCGGGCTTGGTTGGTCCAAGCCGGACCGCCCGGCCGGGCCCCCCTGCGGCGCGGCTGTCAGCGTGAGAGGGGTGGCGGCCCCTGCAGGCCGCGCTGGGGCGGACACCCGGAGCATCGGCAGCCGGAGCCGCAGCCCGGCGGTGTCAGTGCCACGGTGTCCGCCGGGAAGCGAGAGGCAAGAGCTGGCGGCAGCCCGCCCTCCCGATCCCCGCGGCCAGGCCCCCGTATGCAGCCCTCACCCTGGAGCGGCGCCGGCGGCGGATCGAGGAGCTCTCGCGGTCGTCCCGGCAGCGGCTGCTGCAGTCGCGGGACAGGATGTTCTCCAAGTTCACCTCCATCCTGCAGCACGCCGTGGAGGCGGTAAGGCCGCCGGCGGGCCGAGCCACGCCGCGCCGGGGATGCAAGCGAGGCCTAGCCGACGAGCGGGCGGAGCTGGGGGGCTCTGCCCGCTCCCTCAGCGCGGCGCCCCTTCCCTGCCACCTCCCCCGAGGCCTGCTGCCGGCGAGGAGTCCCACCGAGCCCACATATCCGCCGGCAGCCGCGGCACCGCCGAGCCCGGCTCGCCCGTGCCGCGGGGCTGGGAGGCGGACGCCGAGCTAGGCGGGCGGGCCCCGACCGGCGGCGGGCCCTGGGAGGGGAGCGGAGCGGAGCGGAGCTGCCCTGCCGCAGCGCCGGCTACAGCCGGCCCGGGCTGCCGAGGGCCGGAGATGGAGGGAGCGGAGGGACCAGGCGCTGACCGGAGAACTGCGAGCCCGGCACAGCCCCCTACGGGCATCGTGAGCCCCCGGGCTGTCAGCGCCGGTAACGTGCCTTGCCCGTACGCCCCGGTGCCGTCACCCTGGCTGCTTTCAGTGAAACGAGAGTGAAGTTGCATTCAGGAAACTTCTCCGGATTCTCTTGTTGTTGTTGTGGCGGCCAGCAAACAATAGTCGCCGTGTCCGGTGCTTTTGTGTGATGTCGTCACTTCCAAACCGACGTTTTCAGCCTTGGTTTCTGGTTTTAAAAACGGCTGAAAACGGAGGGAAAGGAGGGTGCGGGGTTTGCGGTTGCGTGCGGTCGGTTCGATTTCACCGTGTAAACACACACAGCGGTGCCCATCGCGGCGCTGGGGAGAGGGGAGCAGTGGGGCCTGTCTCCGAAGCTGCCATTCCTGTAGGCCCCGTTCAGCTGCTTGCTTCTCAGGACTCGTTTTGTGTCTGCACGGGTTGATTTTGTTTGCTTTTCCGTTAGGTGAGGTCCTGGTGGTAATATCTGTGGCTCCCAGCACCTTTCTCTTTAAGCTAACACATCCAGGAGGCTGAGGTTGAGGAGGTGCATCTTTGGGTGCTACAGACTGGCAGTGAAATACTGCTGGCAGTGAAGGTGGAAAGTATGGATGGAAAATGGTTGAGAAAGGGACACCGTTTGTGCATTAATGTAGCCCTTGATGCTGCATATACTTGGGCGTATGCGTTATGTGTGTGCCTGTAGTTCTGGGGCCTTTAGCAGGACTACTCAGGTTTAAAAGTCAGGCTTATAATAATTAATTGTGGGTTCCTACTTTGCTCTTTTAGTGGTGGAGTGGCAATTGGGAAGAAATGCTGGAAATAACCATGAAATGGCCTGAAAATTCTCTGTGACCGCATATGAATGCCTTCAATAGGCAGTGCCTTCATTGGAGGAAAACCAGAAATTAGTGCCTCCCTGACTAAAGAAACCTTGTTAGTCGTGTGAGCTGTGCCACAATTTGTATGAGTAGAGAGATTCAGGCATGGAAAAGAAGTTATTCTTTCAGGCCCACCAGTTCAAGATATCTAATCAAAGTCATTTCTAGAAGAACATTTACATTATTGATGTGTACAAAAAGTACTGCATTTATATGAGATCCATAAAAAAACCCTAGGAAACATGAATGAGTTGAATGGAAAAGGGGAAGAATGGAGATGGTAGGGACTAGATGATCTTTTTTTAATTAAAAAACCCCAACACCTCCCCACCCCCAAGAAAAACAGGCACAGACGGAGAACATCATTTGGCAAGTGACTGCTATCAAACAACATGCTCTGTGTCCTTGCTTGACTCTGGTGTCCCTTTTAGAACCACCTTACCCTGCTAACACCACTGTGAGAGAGTTCCTGCTGATAAGTACTGCACTACATTGCATTTACAGGGTTGTGACACACGAAGCACCACATGCTAGGAGTAAATCATGGAATCACAATAGCAAGAGGATATTAAGAATGTGTCTTACTTCACCTAGAAAGTTTTACCCACTAATTCAAAGCCAGAACTGATAAATATAAGCTTTTAAACAGTTTTGGGGCTGTACGTGACTGTTTTATTATCTTGTAAAAAGTATGTGGGCTACTTTGCTTTGCTACTCTGAAAATGAAAACTGGTGTAAATCCTAAATATTAGATAAGCTCAGCTTGATGCTGCCTGCTGTTCTCAGAACCTAGATAATTCAGAGCATCATTTTTACTTGCTGTTAGAGCTGCAGAGCAAGTGTAGCTTGTGCAGCCTCGTGTGGACTCTGTTTCAGCCCTGAATATCGGCATCAGAACTGGTAACCAAGATATAATTTCTCCTAGGTTTTGGGTGCCTACTTCTGGGAGGAATTCATTTGCAGCTGAAGAGTTTTGGGTTGAGCTGGTCAATTAAATACACTTGGAATGCATAGTCTTAGCTTTCATTGGTAGGACTACTTTAAATCAGAATGGTTTGGGTAGACTCTCTTTCCTGTCGTTTCTCCTACACATCACTTATATAATGCTCCTGTCCTGCCTCAGGGCCCACAGGCCTGCAGATTTCAGAGAGATGTATTCAGATAAGTGTTCCTATGCTAATAGATAATCTTTATTATCTTACCCTCAATATGCCATCTCACTGAACTATGACGAGGAGTTCCAAAGGTTGACAGTCTAATACAGACAGGAGTATTTGCCTTTCACTTGCTGTGAGCATACAGCTCTTTGACTGCCTTCATGACAGGACTATAATGAAGCAAACAGAAAGGACCATTTGCTTTTCAGTAAGAGTTCTCTTACCTTGAATAACTCAAAACTTTCAGCCTTTTCTGCCTAAAATGCCCAAGAGTGTGAAATCATATTCCCATTTTCACTACAACTGAATCCTAATTTTTGCCACCTCTTTTCCTGTGTCAGTCCTGCCAGTATTTTAGATACTTTTACCCTTTTGGGAATTCTCTGCAACATCCAGATGAGCAAGCACTCTGTCAGGTATCGTCCTGACAGAGGCATCCTGAATGTGGGTAGTATGAGAATGGTGGAGGGAACTGCTGTCTTTGTTCTGTTACCTTACTTCAGGGCAGAATAGAATAGAAATGTTGTTGCTGTGGGGGGTTAATATTAATGAATCTGTGACAGTTTATATATGGCTTGTCCCCAAGATGTTTTTTCTTTGCTATGCATTTCTAGTATACTTTTATCCCAGATGTATTCCAGAGTGCTACATTGTCAGCAACCTACAAAATGTAGTGTATACTAACAAAGCACCAAGTTAGACTTGCTATTTCTCTTATCTTGTACTCTTCACTCATGTTTCCCTAGACAAAACAGCTCTTCTGTAGAGCGGTCACTCAGTGTTCAAAGGACTTTTGTCTCTGATTTGGGCTTTCAGGAGATGTTTTGTCTTAACAGTCAACTCAGATGGTTTTATGCTGTGTACCTTGAGCAGGAAAAGTGATTTTGGTTGCTTCGAACTTTGCAATTTGCTGTCAAACAAGATTGTATCACTCTTGGGACTGGGGAATGAATTTAGATTTTAGTGCCTGCTGCACATTTTTGGGACCACTCTCTACCAGCCTATTGTTTCACTGTGTCTCTTACACTGGCATTTTAATATGCTTTTTAGTAGCACATTTTCTGTCCGTATTTTGAGGCAAAACTGAAAGAAACTGAGTCACTTGCTACAGGTACAGCTCCAAAATCATTAACTGCATAACTACTCAGAACAATGCTTCTTTTTGAACCCACTTTATTTGATGTAATGACCTCACATTACCGATTGTTTTAACAAATTCTGATGACAAAATCTAATGCATGGCTCGCAAGTGTGTGCAGTCTTAATTTTATATGCAAAACCAGCGATCATTATAAGCTCTGTGCATTCATCAACTGAATAAATAACGTAAACCTTCAAGCATTAGTCCTTTTTCAGATTTTCCATCAGGGTAGACATTCATGCTAGTAAAGTAGTAAGATAAGTGACTACTGTAGTTTTCCTTGTTTCAGTTAGGGGATTGTGAATGCAGCTCCCCTTGATTTCTCTTTGACCCAGTTTCTGCTTTCATTTTCACTCTGGCATCTGACCAGACTGT